GGTAACTGGCATACAGCTGGCTGTGTCACTATCACCTGGCTCATCTGCCTGCCTCTGAAAGAGAGAGGGCGAAATGGGCAGAAAAAAAGGAAAAAAGATTGAACAGGCAGTGAAAAGAGAGAGGTGGTGTGAGTGAGAGAAAGAAGGGGAGATGAGGAAAAAGAAAGGACAAATGGATTCTTACTCAGTGAAAAGGGAAAACAACATTAACAAAAAGTGAAGAAATGTCTTGAAAACAAAAGGGAGATAACCAGGAGAACATTTTGTCACCGAACAGATGTGCCATCTACAGAAACCATTGTATTACCATTCTCTACCTGCCCACTAGGGGGCACTATTGAGTTTCCCCATCTCAGCTCATCACTTGACCCAGTCAACTGCTAACCCAGCTGCTCCATAAACCACAGGGCTATATAAAGGACAGCTATCACTTTCTGTCAGGTTGTCCGTGTTGGCTTGGTGGCCTGGCTGTTATCCTGCTCTACACGTCTGGTCTGACTGCCCTCTCAGTCTTGACTCTAAGAAAAGAAAGAAATATCTAAATGGGAGAAATACCATGGCCAATGCAGATGCTTCTCTTCAGAGCAGAGGGGGGCACTCGATGGTTAGTATGAAAATAATTTTAAACATATGCTATGGCCTTCACTGTCACCAGTTTTGAACCCAGTTGAACACCTACTGTATTGTAGATTTTGAACCAATGGGGTAAACAGTTCAGTAGTGCTGGAGAATCTACGGACAATGCAGCTGTTTTTAATTGGTAACACTGGCAATAAACACTCCTTTTAGCAACTAGGCTAGTTAGCTCACACTGTGGTTTGTTGTTTACATTACAAACACTAGCTTGAAGAGATAGTGGACCTGCCATCTTGCAGTTTGTGGATTATCTTTATCTTGCACCATACCAACTGTACAGATGTATTACATTGTGTAATAGCGAGTGCCACCACCTGCCAACAAATGGTGGACCAACATCTTTGCAAGACACTTAAAAATAAAAAAATAAAAATAAATGATCTGCAAACTCTTATACTTTTTAACATTTTAAAGACTTTCCATTAGCTAATTATTTAATTTTTATTTTTATTATTATATTTCTTTGTTTCTGTAAATTGACTCAGTCAGTGAGCTCTTGGGTATAAATAAAGGTAGAATGAATGAATCAATGTAGGTTTTACCTTTAATTTGTATTTTTATGACACATGTCGTGTCTGACTTTAGGTCTCCAGATCTGTGATCTTTAAAAAAACAATAATATTTCTGAAGCTGTGTAAACATAACTTTTTGTTAGTTTAAATTGATAAATTTGGTCATCATCTGTCAAATGCTTGTTGGACACTAATTATTAAAACTACAGAAAAAACACATCACCACCCAGAAATAAACTCCAGCTTGTACTACTTTAACCTGTCCCACTGTGTTAGAAAAAGTCCCCATCCTCTCTTTTTAAAAGGTCAGAATCAGGGGTGTAACAAAACAAGACTTTTAGAGACCCCCTGCATGGGCAGCTTTAATTACAGCTGAGGAAGTGGCACCGCTTAACAGGAACCACCCTGCTTGACTGTTACATCCCATGACTCTGAATGAAAGCAGAAAAGCAGTTTAATATCTTTTAATGTGCCTGTGTGTGAGAGTCGCATGCTAGCAGTGTGTGGCAAAGGCACCGTGCAGCATGTGGGCAGGCGCGTCTGCACTGCCTGCTAAGCAGAGGGGACATCAAAAGGTGGGTTTTAACACACATACACACACACACCCCATTGCCACCCCTGGCTATAAATCCCACCCCAAAAGGAGCCATTTATGGGACAATAAGAGCCAATTTATGGGCCCCTAGAAAATGAAGGCAATTCAGAGGTGTGGGATGAAAGATGACAAGGGCTTTCTTGGGGCTAGCTGGTAGCTCTGTGTTTCTTCACAACTTTCCCTTGTGTAGCTTTTGTAGTTTGGAGGGATGGACCAGTTCAGCACAAAATGAGAGATCTCTCTCCCAAGCTTTCCTTTCAAAAATGTTTGTCAGCAGCCAAGGCACGAACCGAACCTGAAAAATGATGTGAGCATTTTCTGTTTTAGAAATTACTTCAGATATCACATTTAATCTTCTGGCGACTGTTGTTAAGATCCCAGTCTGTGTGGATGACCTCTCTTGTCCCCTAGAGGTCACAAAATGTTTTCAGTTGAATACATACATAAATACAATGGGATTAGCAGCATTCTGGATACACACACACACACACACACACACACATAGAGCCACACAAGGAGACATGGACCGGATCATGTCTGCCTCAGAGTTACTCAGGTGTGGTGAGATTGCTGGAATACTGACACGAAACGTTTGGGGAAAATCACGGAAAGGCCTGTGCCATGCCCCAACCGCTCAAGCATATACAACAGCTCTCTGGCCTGTAGTGTGTGTTGCTGATGGATGTAACAGTACATCAGGCAGAGCACTTCTGCCATTTTATCTGTCTTGAGGCAAACACAAAAAAACACACTTTTTCATTCAACAGCTAAACCAACTTCCACAGTCCACACACGCTGAAGTAGTTCATCTTTTTAAGGTTGCCCAACAATGAGTCAGCTACCTACATTATGTCTGGAAACAACTTCTTAAGGAATCACTGTTTGCTCCTCTCCCCCTTCTCTCTCTCTTTCTCTGTCTCTCTCTCTCTCTCTCTCTCGCTCTTTTCCTCTTTTATTCATTTAGTTTAATAGTCTGTAATAGTTACCAAGTATCATTAAGGCCAACCTCTGTGGCTTCTAACAGCGCTGTAGGCAAGCCAAGTGTTTGTTGTCGGCATTTTATTGGCTTCCAGGGAGGAGGGTTGTTGTTGTTCAGTGTAATCTTGGCACGCCAATAACAGGTTTCAATAAAAGCAGCTGCTTTCTTAGGGTAGTTAAGCCGCTCTCTTCCCTCCCCACTTTTGTGTTGGGTGGAATAAACTCAGAGCTACCTGTAGAGAACTTTGCAAGTGTCTCCATTTCTCCTAATACAGTACGTCTAGTTCCCTTTATTCTCTCTTGTTTGACGTGTAAAAATCTCTTTTCTATTGGATGTTTTTTTCATTTCTCTGTTTTCATCTCTGCCACTCGTTTCCTAAGCAGGTCGCTGAGGTTTTAACTGCTATGATGGGACTTATTCCAGTGCCAGCTGGTTTAGCTTGACCACACTGCCCCCTGTAGGGAACAACCTGCTGTTGCAAATCAACAAAGCCAGAGAGGCAAAGAGGCAGAGGTTCCTGGGACTAGTAATATATGGGCCATAAAATTATTTAGCACATGCCATTTTAGAAATACATATGGAGGTGACCAAATCAGTATAATGCAAACTTGGAGGTAATTCAAAGATATGCAGTGATTTAAACTAATATGTTCCTCTTAAAGTCACTGTTTACACCCATCTGCATTTAGAAGTCTTCATCACAGGAGACACTGGCAAAAGCAATTGTTTATACCAAGACCCTTTCTTCTTCTCGTCCCTAACATTTAAGTAATACAAATATCTAGAGTGGCACATCTTGTCCAAGTTTCGTAGTTGCTATTAAATCTCTCTTTTCAGCTCACAACAGCCTTGATCAGTCTGAAATCATTTTAACATTGATTATCACGTGGGAAAAAAGCACGGATAAAGATGCAGTAAGAAATGTGAGACAAGAGTGAGAACAAAAGGGATGTAAAGAAAGGTGTTAGAAAGAAAAAAAAGTGGGCATGAGATCAAATAAAATGAGAGGGTATTCATTCGGTCTGAAATGGCGTTTGAGTGGACACGAGAAGTACATTGGGAAACACTTGTGTAAACAGTGTGATTGATAGTAAACAGTTGTGCAAATATAATACAGCAACTTTTTTGGAGGTTGCAACATTTTCCACTAACTGATTGAGGACATGGGTGAGTTATGTCTATAATATTCCTCCGATTATGTAACTTGAAGTAGATACAGCCAGGTCAGTTATTCAGGACTAAATGTAATCCACAACTTTTAAGTAAGTTAATAATGTATTTAAAACAATAATGTCTGAAAAAAAACTCTAAATTGTTATCTCACTTCCCTTTAGCATGAGGAGTCTTAAAATAAATCTTTATCTAGCATATCATATAAAATGACAGACATGACATAGGTTGAAAGTTTGAATTCAAAAACTCTCCTTGCATTGCTTTCTTCTGTGAGATCCCTCATTTTTCTTGGCAGTGAAGTTTGATTTGCCACCACATTCCATAGTTAAAAGGTATAGGAGAAAGAGTCCCTATGTGGCTAAAAGAGTTCCTGTCTCTCATGTAAAATTAAAAAGCACTCGGACAAACATTATTGAACCTCTACTGGAGCATGAACATTCCATGGTGTTTGGCTGACCCTGACACAGGTTTCCTCTCTTGGTTTCTCAAGGGTTTTCATTTTTTTTCTCCACCATCAATCATCCCTTATTTTCTAACCGTCTAATCGTTATTTCAACGTGCAGAGGTGGCATGCAGAGTCCAGTATTTTTAGGAATGCTAGTGGCATGGCTCTATGGAAGGCAACTAACTGTCGGTTAGTCCATCACTTTGGTCCAGGCTAAAATATCTCAACTATTGGATGGATTAAGATGACATTTTGTGCAGGCATCCATACTCTGATTTATCTATCCATCTATCTATTCTGATATGCCAAGCAACCTTCACTGTATTAAACACGGCACTTTTATACATTATGAGGTCAGTAGGCAGTTGTGTGGAAGACTAAAACCTTTGTTTGTCCACATTTACACATTTGCTCCATATCTACTCTGTGCTGTTTTCAAACCCTTAGTTTGAACCCTCTGCCATCAGCCTCCTGGGAGGTGAGTGACAGCTTTTATATGTCTTAACACATGTAACTGATATGAATTAACATGACTCATTCAGAAATGACTTTCCAAAGATTTGGTTCAGAGACGTCCCTCTGCGTCAAAAGCAACTTTTATTTTCCTTTAATCCAAACCTTTTGACATAAACACAAGTTAATTTCCATCATTATTGAAACCGTTCAGCTAATTAAGTAGAAAGTCAAATTTGACAGGGTCAAAAGAATTCACCAGAATTCACCAAAGTCATTACAAATGTTGTTTTCATGGATCATTTCACAGGCATTTACTAGTCAATTACATTGTCAACCGGTCCTGTCGTTGCAGCCCTGAGCAGTCTGATCCCTGAGTGACAATATGTTCTGGTCACATTGAGTGTATCGGGGTGGAAAAGGTCTCTATGCCTGCCAATTAACATCCACGGTAGTGCGTCATTTCCAAGAAAAACATTGATCCAATTCAAAAAAGCAGCTTGTTGCCATTGTTGGAGACATCTTTGCTAACAGCTGCACCATGTAAGTCCAGCACCCCATCACTTACAACACTGATTGTGGGCTGTAGTTTGGCCTTTAGTTGTTATCATTTGTTTCTTTCACAAGCTGTTTTACAGGCAAAGATGATGGGATAAGTCTGTGTGACCACTTGTGGCTTCTGAAATGGAAATGTTCTGTTGTAAGATCTATCTTAGCTAAGTAGCTAAATCCCTGTATATATTGTATGTAAAGTTTCCATCGCTGTTCCTATCAACCTGGGGTGCAAAATATCCTTGAGGGGCTCTAAGTGTCTGTAGGTCATGAGGCAGTCAAGGAATAATATTGGAGCAAATGCAAGAACTCTGGACAAAATGAGTCATCTGTTATGATCAAAATCATTTAAGGTTTAATTTCTAGTAAAATAACTCGAGAAAACATAATTAATCCTGCCTTCAGTGACTTTTTCCCGGTCTAAATGACGCAAAATATGTGTTTAAAAGACAAACAATGAGGTTCTGCCTATACTGGTGGGGGGCATGGATTTAAACAGAGCTGAGGGGGTTTCCTAACTCAAAGACGGTTGGGAACCAATGGTTTATATGACAGTATAATCATGGTTATATGGCTGTGACCTCCCAAAGGCATCCAGAGGTTATCCATGATTCACTCAGATAATGAGCCTCATCACTTAGGCTGTCACCCGTTCTCCTCCGAGGCCCAGGGCTAATATTTGTAGCCGGCAATGCACTGAGGGGTTACATGAGCAGTAATCCCATGCAACGCTGACCAGTGTGATACATTACTGTAAGCAAATGAATGATTAGATACTTATTTAGCATAATATTGAAGTGCACTGTACTATGATCTGGAGCAGGAGAAGACAAGTTAAACACTGAGAATTATATGGCTTTAGAGTCACTTATATTCATTTAAATACACCTTTTCCCTAAAGTGCATCTTAGCTTCATTTAAAGACTATTTGCTTAAGGGATCAAGGAAAAGCTACAAAAACAAGAGGGATTTTATTCTGCGCTATGAGACACCAGGCCTTGAATTCATCATCCTTCAACAGTTTAAGTACTTGTGAAATGACAATCATTAAGTTTTTGTTCCTGAGTAATGACTGACATGAAAAAAAAACAAAATCTTGTCCAAAAAACAATGTCTTGTTGGCACAACTTCTCTCATATAAATTGATTAATTGTCGCCCGACCAATGTCCACTTTCTGATATGTTCGTGATGAATTAACTAAAAAACAAATGCCAGGGATGCTGAATAAGATGATTCCTTCAGATAACTGGGGCACTAAAAATGGCAGATTTTCACTCATATCAATGTGCACACCACAAAACAAGACCTCAAAGGTTTTAGTAGCATTGGCAGGACTGCTGGCTCTCTTTGGTTGAGATCAGTTCTTTACCTATAGATGGCTCTTTGGTGCCGCCTACATTTTATTACCTTTTTCCACTTCTCTTCCCCCGACTCTCTGAGTTCTTTCCCAGTGTTTTTTAAAGGCAGTCAGGGCACAGTGCCACCTGCCCAGGTAGATAAGCTCTGCAGGGACACAGTCTGCGGTGAGAAGGATCAGAGCCGGCACAACTGAACAGCAGAGGCTCCTGCTGAAGGCCGCAGTGTTGGCCCCAAGGGCTGTAGGAAGGAAACAGGTGGTTGACTTCCTGCCCCATGCTGGAACAGCTTATCCCAAGCCTACAAAATAGGAAATTAAAATGCATTTATTTGTGATAGGGGCAATCTACATACAGCAGAAATAGTAGCCTAAAGCAGATGCATGTATCTTACAGTAAGTACACAGACAATATAAAGGCTCTTTCATTCCTAATTTCCTTGCTCTTAACATGTATATATTAAACTTTCTGTGGATTTCTCACCGAGTGAATGCAGCGGGATTGTTTAGGTGGTGAAAGAGAGCAGGCTCACACACGTGGGAGGTCCGTCGACACACACTCACACATGACTGGCCGAGGGGACCTAGGTGCACCCTTAGAGCACTTTCTGGTGGCCAAGTAGTGACAGATTTACTACAGAAATTCTGGGGAGATTTAAGATAAAGAAATGCAGAGAGTTTGAACCAAGCAAGAACCTGCATATTCTGTGTTGGGTCAGACAATTACAAACATATTAGCCTTTTAAATTAACAATTGGAAGTAATGTTTCCAAAGTTAATTTCGATGGAGGTGCAGATGTGGTTTGAGAGGAACATTCACCATAACAGAAGTGCATAAATTCATAAAAGGCCAGTATCAGCCTTATGTATTGGAAAGTTATATATCAGTTAACAAGTTTGTAATGGTTTCCACACCCTTTTTTTTACCCACTTCGTAATGCACTGCATAAAACAGGCCAGTGTCAATAATCAAGCTACTTCAGGAGTCTAATTAGTTCAGGGAGCAACAAAAAATACTGCAAAACTACCGTGCAAGGCTACATCTCTGTACCTGGTGAGTGATATAACCATGAACCCTCTCCAGCATTCCCTCACACACAAACTCTCGTGGATTGAAAGGCTTCACCTGCAAAAACATGCACACACACTTTTATTCAGTGCTACTGGAACTGAAATTTATGGGATGACAAGGTGTGTGTCTATATACATGTATATACACCACCTCTGTGCGTAGAATTGCTCTGACTGCCTCCCGTACATCGGTTTTGTTGGTTATGTCTACAGTCCGCACGTGGGGTTTGCCAATGAATGTTTCAGCATACGGGTGCTGGGAGGAGATCTGGGAGCCAAAGTTATTTGCTGTCTTTAGATCTAAAAATTGATGTACAATATTTATACCCAATTCAAACAGTCATTTTCTTTCAGTTTGAAGAGTTACCTACCTGTCTTGTAGTGGGCTTGCCTTTGTAGAAGTCATTGTTGTCTGATGAGTGTGGTGGGTCAAATCGTGGCTGAAGGAACACACAGCCCAGAGCTATTGCCTCAATGGGAGCTGGACCCTCATAGGGGAACCCAAGGCCTACAAACACCTGAGAGGGAAGCAGCAGCGGGAAGACTGAAGATTGTTTTGCATCTTAATGAAATCCATCACAAGAAAACATAAGGACAGGCAGGATAAACATATACAATAAATGCACTTAAAAGATTCTGATTCAGCGGCTTCATAGATTTACTCTGATGAGCTCTTATCTGACCTTGGCTCTACGGAGAAGGCGCAGGAAGTGCTCCTGAGTCAGCAGGCCATGGTTCCTGATGAAGCTGGGCAGATTAGATTTGTGCCCGGGAGGCTGGTACACTGTAGCATGGGTCTCCAGCTCTTCACTGATTACCTCAACATATTCAGATTTACCCTAGTATATACACAGACGTACAGAAACACACACATCATGAAACAGGGTATGTAGGCTTAAGAATAGCATGTACAAAAACACTAATCTGTCTTATTGCTACCTTACAGTCTTTCTTCATACATATACTTTAACCTTTTGGCCATTATACCTGCCACATGTAGTCCTGTTTACCATAGATGACTGCTATCCTGTCTTTCCTGTAGGTGTCCGACTCCAGCTCTTCCTCCCTCACCGCCTCCCTCACTGCCTCCTCAATCACAAATCCGAGGAAGGAGTTATCAGGAGTATGAGCTAAAGTTGACAGAACACAGAGCAGTTTACATGTAAAAAGATAAATAAATTGCATTCAACAAGAAAAATCAGGGCTACGACTTCAGCTTCATTCAATTTCAAGATACAGTTTTAAGTAGTATTTATCTGCTTGATTTTTTAGCAATAAAAGTGTCTTAAATTCAGTGCTTATTTTACCAAAACATGATCCAAGATGGTGAATGCCTGCTCACACACTTCCTTGAAGACAACATAAAAAAGAAACATTGTGGAAAATGTGACATTTTTAACTTTTGGACAGGCAAAGGCCAAAAATATTACAGGTGAAGATTAAACTTCTGTGAGAGAGAGAAAAACATGCTGTGCAGTATAAATCAGCAGTTAAAGGAAATGAGAACTCCACATATATCAGAGGTTAACGTCTGGCTGTTTGGATAGGCAGCTGCCACCCTGCTGCCCTCCGACACACTGAGGAAGGTGTGAAAGATGAGTATTTACTTTACTAGGAATGTGCCAGCAAAAGGTGTGTGTGTGTGTGTGTGATCAGTTGATTCAAAATTCCGGGCCTTTTTGTCAGACACATACGCACACACGCACGAGATTTACTGTGATCTGTGGCTGCTGCAGTACTGATCCCTCATATCCACAGACCCTCTAAGCAGGTCCTTCCATCCAGTGGAGAGGATAAGTAGCTGAGGTTAAGTAAACCTGGTGCCCGACAGAGCGTTGTTCATTTCCAACACCGGTCTCCTTGTCATCATTTCCCAGCCTCTGGGAGATGGAGACCAAGCTGGCACACCGTGGGCGAGAGCCACCCTTCGGTTGCCTCAGCATGGAACACTGTTTATCATGTCCTGCTGGAGGGGAGAGAGGGATGGCTGTTAGCTGCATGGTAGAGAGGAGGCAGAACGAGAGAAAGACAGCAAAAACAGAAACAAAGAGAATGGAGAAAGGAAAAGAAAGAAGCTTGAGAAGAAAAAACGGGTGGGTGTTTATGCTTCTGTTGATGAGAATGGGGGAGAGGGAAGATAGTTCGACTGAGGGATTGTGCTGAACAAAGCAGGCAGGTCAAGCAGACTGAAACAGGGCAGGCAAGGACACAGAAACCCAAACCAAACAGAAACTTAATTCTTCACAGTCCCCCCATCATACGACACTGCCACCAGTGTTGGCAGGAATCTTGATCCACATGATTCAGTGTTATGTGTGTGGCATATCTCTGCTAATGCTGATATACGTGAATGTGTGTAGGCTGTGAACCAAGACAGGTGTAAGAGACAAATGGGACCTCGAAATGTAGCCAGGAAGAAATTGACTATGCGGCTGTTGAAAGAGGGGAGATTTTGGAAAAAAGTCTTTCAAACAAGTACATTGACCGACAGAGAGAAGTCGCACAAGCAGGGACACACACGGCACATACAAACATGTAGCACATGCTTCCACACAGCATCCGCG